CCTGTTCGGTCATATTTCATTCTTCAGCTTGCCCTTGTCTTTCCTTAATTCGTATCAGTTAGTCACTTTCTTATATCTATGAACAGACTTTATACTATCTACCTCTCTCTACCTTCAAAGTTGAGGACACGCGTCCGATAAGGTGACGAAATTGACCTCCAGGCCGATTTTCGGTAATTAGATGAGCGTTTTAGGTAATTTTCCAAGATCATCGTCACTCACCAGCGTCGTTCTGTTTATCTCAACTTTGTTTCTTAAAACGTAGCGGCGGCATGGCCCGTTCGTGCTTCCGAAGCAATTGCAATATTCTACAGGGACGCCCAAGAAAAAACGTAAAAGTTATGTCGTCCGTGGCCGTCGCCCGCTACGTTCCTGGTCTGTGCCCTGAACTGATCGAGTTTGTGGGCGTTTCTGCTAGTTGTAACCGTGCGCTTGGAAAAACGGCTTCGAGGCATCGCACTAGCTTGACTAGATTTGAGCGACCGCGGTGTACTATAATCACGTGGAACAAATTATTGTTTTGTGGTGTGGCGAGGCGATAACACGAGTTTTTGTAATTTCTAATCGAGTTACATAATTATATCAACAATAATTAGACAAACCTGTTGCTAAGCGCTGCAACGTCCAATAAATTAACGATTTTTCCATCGTACAACATATTTTTCTTAAATAATGCGAAGCAGACCACGATGTTCGTTCGTTACTGCGATAATTGCAGTCGCCAGTGCAACGACGTGATTATTAATTTTTTTTATGATTAATATGCAAATAAGAATGTTTTTTTAAGTATTTATTCGCCTAATATCCCCAATTAGTCAAAAATAAACAGGCCGCCTCATTATACCAAATACATAACCTAAAATGATAAAAATCGAATGTACAGGGTGAGTCAACGAGAGAGCATTATCTCATGAGAAAAAAAGCTACTGTTTACAACACTTCTGGACTTCCTGCGGCGATTATGGTTGAGTTGAACTTGCTGATGTTTCGCCAGTGAAACAGTTTCAGTTAAGCTTTGAAGAAGCCAACAGGAACGTCAGCGAGTTCGACTCAACAACAACCGACGCAGGAGGAATCAAGAAGTTTTGTAAATAATACAAACATTCCCAGGATGCACAATTTTAAATTATTTTAAAGTATATGAAGGGTGATTCAATAAGGGGTTCCACATTAAAATAATAAAAAAAACTCGGAAAAATATAAAAATATACATTTTTATTGGCCATTTTAGATTAGTGTATTACAATTAGGTATGAAAGATGGCGCTATTCAATTCCGGTTCTATGCCGGCTATTTCGGGTCTAATCTCCTGTTTCAGCTCTGGAATAGTGTTTGGTTTATTTCTATACACTCTGCTTTTTAGATACCCAAAAAAAAAATCTAGGGGAGTAAGATCACATGATCGCGGCGGCCAATTGATATCGCCGTTACGTGAGATAATGCGACCAGGAAACTTGCCCCGCAGCAATTGCATCGTTTCTCTGGATGTGTGACAAGTGGCTCCATCCTGTTGGAACCACAAATCTTCAATGTCCATACCTTCCAATTGCTCCCAGAAAAAATCAGATATCATGTTTCGATAGCGAACACCATTAACCGTAACAGCGTTCTCCGCATTATCCTCGAAAAAAAAAAAGGGCCAATTATTCCTCCGCACCAAACAGTCACTTTTTGAGGATGAATTGCTTTTTAAACAATCTCTCTTGGATTTTCTATTCCCCAAATACGAGCATTGTGTTTGTTTACAAAGCCACCAACGTGAAAATGTGCCTCATCGCTAAAGATGATTTTCGTTGAAAAATGAACCCCTCGTTCTTGTATCCATTCTGCAAAGACGCGGCGCTCTGATGATCTCGAGGTTTCAACTCCTGAGTTATTTGGACTTTATATGGGTGTAGATGCAAGTCTTTTGTTAAAATTCGCTGTGTGGTTGAATACGTAAAGCCCACTTGCTGCGATCGATGACGAATCGATGTGTTTAGATCTTCTGCTACACTTTCGCGAACAATGGCTATATTTTGATATGACCGAGCACGCTGAGGGACTTTGATGTTAGTTACAGATCCAGTGTGCTCAAATTTTTGAACCACATTCCAAATTGTCCTCTCAGAAGGTCGACTTTGAGCGCCGAAAAATTCACGTAGAGCCCGAAATGCATTTTTTCTTGATCGACCATTTTCATAATAGGCTTGCACAATTTTTACATGTTGTTTAGTCGTATATTGCTAAATGACTATTTTTTTTATGTTTTGAGGTTAGAAATATTATATGATAATAAACAAATACAGTGGCGTTTCAAAAATATTTCAGATTGTAATGTGGAAACTCTTATTGAATCACCCGTTAGTATACTAACCAAAACATACATTTCTTGTAAAATAGCAAATTCATTTTGAAATTCTTTAAATTTTTTTATTAATAATACCTACCTAATATACCTAAACCTAATAGTTTTTTAAAATTAAAAAAAAAGTACTAGTTTTCACGCTTTTTGTATATTAGTGAATTTGAATTAGACGCTACAAAATAAATGAATATATTTGGATCATTTTATATTGGAAAATCTCGATTTTCTTTAATGGAACACCATATACCGGGTTATTTCTGAACATAACATTGGAAATCCCATGCAAATTTTTACGTGTCCAAATATTGCCTTCCCTGTACATTTTATATCAAAGTTGTGATATAATTTCTTGAAGAGGTATGTCTAACTCATGTGCCGAGTTTGAATAAATTCAGTTCAGTTCAAAATCTTCAGTTATTGAATTAAATATGATGACAAAATTGGCAATATGACGGCAGAAAAAAGGTCAAGACAAACACCAACGAATATTTTCCATGACACTACTTCCAAAACTTGACGACGAGAAGCTGGACAATGACATATCAAATAGAGGTTGGTTTACAATAAAAACATGTAGTTATAACGGTATATTTTTCTTAGGATCTAACTCATACTCGGTTCTTAGGACCCCCTTGTCCCTTAAAGCGTTCTTGGAATAAATTTCATTTAAATGACGGTTTAAGCAACAAGGAAGCTTCCAGAGACGACTATAAATTTGTCCTTCAAGTCTTTTATTAAAAATTACAACTTTTAAATTTACCATTTTCTCATAACTTTTGAAACCAATGAAATAATGAAGTTTGAAAATTGTTGTTATTGAAACATTGGACTAAATCTATAATACATATATCCGGTCGGAGTAAAACGAGACGGCAGTAGTTTTTTTTATCAGCTCGGCAGGTTATCCCAAAGGTCTCGTCGTCTAACAAACCTTTCGGGGTTATCAGACCTAGAGGAACACGCGTGCATCTCGTGGTCGACACGTGAGACGTGCAAGCCCAGATCAAAAACGACCGCAGAAAACAGTGAAAATGACTAAAATTAAATCCCGCTCATCCGTTCTTACTTCGAAGACGCGCAGCAACCAGTATGACCGAGAATCGCTATAATTGCGAATAATAATAGGCCGGAGTACCAAGTAGCCGCTTATTAGGTCTAAATAAACGGTTCTCGGTAGAAATAAATCCTAAAAAAGGATATAGCGAGTCTCGAGCGCGGGTATAAAAATCAATCTAACGCACGTACGATTAGGGATGAGACTAATTCGCCGGATCTGAAAAAACGATCGGCTACACAATGTAATGTACTCTTCCACGCGGCATGTAAATTCAAGTCGTTACGCAACCCAAACAAATAAATAATGCGTCTATCTAAGCGTCTAGCCCGAATTTTCTTATCGATCATATTTATAGTGTCGTCTGCGTATGTCTGTAAACAAGACGATATCTTTTTACTAGGATTTAGACGAGTTGTCGTCCCAAAAACGTAATTTTCCATAATCAGTGACGCCAAAGAACAAGTTTCGGCATTTGCCAACCATTTACTATTCGTTACAGCTGGCCACATTAAGCGAGGTACCTTTTATTTATGTTAACGACGTTTGGAGTTATCTTTATATTTCTGTCGCAGTTTCAAAAAACTATTCCAATATACTGATGTACTGGTTATAAACAGAAAATCCTACAGTTTAGCAGCAGCACATATAAAAAAGCAAAATTGTGGTCATATAAAACTCTCCAATCCAAGAGAATTTTACAATGATTTGAAAATATACATTAACGAATATACTTTTTAATATTTAATTTAATAATTTAAGGGATTTAATGTCACAGCAATAGCAATATTATATGCCAAAACAACGTGTTTATTTTAGGTACATCAGTGGTAGGCGCTTTAAAATTATCATGAAAAGAGTATCACTTTTGACAGTGGTATAGAAATATTTGGTAACAGGGGGTTAGAAATTTTATAAAGAACTGTGGTTACGCCAACCAACAATTTTGGTATCTATGGCCCTTCTATTACTCTTAATGCAGTTTAAAATGCTGAATAGCAACTCACTCGAAAAACTTTTTCCACGAGACAACATCATCAACTAACCAAAACTAGATTGTTACTTGAAGTGGTAGAATCCCAGTAATATAGGCAATTTATTTTAAAACTGAAGTTTCCATATACCTGCTTGACATATAAATATAGAAACTTTTGAAGCGACGTTGAAAAAATATATGCGCCTGCGCGGCCGTGTGAAATCTCGTTTTAAAAAAATATGACCTAGCGGCGTTCAGCAGCCAACATGGCCGCTGACAGTTCGTCAATTCGACAGGTTTTTGGTGCAAATGAAAGATTTTTACGGCACTAATGTCTCAAAATATGCCTCTTTAAAAGTTATGGGAAAAGTAGTTAAGGGTGTGGAGATCACCATTTAGAAAGAAAATGGCGCAAAGTTCAGGTTAGTGGGTAAAATTTAGAGGCATGCGCGGAAAAAATTTACTTTCTCTGCGAAAATATTATAGCCGTCCGAGGCGCATCGATTTTTACCGTAGTTACCTAATATGCTCAATTCGATAAGGAAACTTTCAATAACAAATTATGGTAATTTTTTCATATGTTTGATAAGATAGTTGAAGAAATGAAAGTTAGATAACACTAATCCGTTTATTTAACTTTTCAACTGCTTATAATTGGGGACAGCCTATTTAACATGGTCTCATCTAAAGTCATTTTGCTGTTGAGTCTAGCACTAAGGGCGACAGCTTCTGGGAAGCCGCTGTCCGCACAGTACTGTATACAGTCTATGGCGCTAGAGGGGGCAGAGTGGGCCATACAGTGATCAACAAATAGAGACAAAGCTTCAAACTTAGGCACACCGACTACTTTGGTGTGATCTTTAATTAACTTGTTCATTATGTGTTGAGCTATTGTAAAATCATTATTTGCGAGAACCAATACCATGATGTTGCCCAGCATCTCTCCTGTGACAGTAAGGTTTGTTCTCTCAGGGTTTTGGTTTTCAATATTTTCATATATGTTCTTAGCTATGTTACTGAAAGCGATCGCCAAATCGGTGCCCACCTGGGGTGAATTTTCAACCATTATATTCAACACTAGGGTGATCAGCTTTTCTCGGTTGACTTGATCGAAAATAGTCATATCAGACCACAGTTTGGGGATATACTCTATTGAAGCGTTGAGTTCCACTTGCCTTAACAGTTCTTCCATAACACTGGGTTCAGGAACATAGATGTTTGGTACTAGTTTATTGTAGACATTTTCCATGAACTCATTCAGTGGCTGGTTAGTCATTAAAACTGTGAAGTAATGCCTGTAGTAGGTGGACTCTCTATAAGAGTCTCCTATAAGGTTATAGTTGTTTCCAAGGTGTAGCAATTTGTTTACTCTCTCTGCAAGATGGGCGTCTCTTAAATGGTTATTGCAAATGTCCATAGCGGCCACAAAGAAACTCGTGTCATCCATATCTCTGATTTCATGCTTCTTATTGTCTACCTGTTCCATAACATCATACAGGACGGTACTGACTGAACGCCGGTCTCCATAGAACGTGTTTATTATGAAATAATATGAACCCAAGGATGGCTCTATTTCTAAATTTTTAAATTCCCTCAAAGTCTTCAGAATATTTTCTTTAACCGCTCGGTGAGTGGTCATTCCGCTTAAGACAAATAAAACCGCATTTAGAGTGCCTAGATTCGGCTTTAAGTTGGCTTGGTTCATGCTCCTGAGCAGGTCAGTGACATGGGTCCACCTCATATCATAACCCTCCTTGAAAAATTTGGAGATTCTTATCAAAGAATTGTAAGTGTCTGTGTTCAGAGTGTAGCCCTTATTTCTAGCCTCTTCGAAATAATGCCAAGCCCTCGTGGACTGAGAATACTTTGCCATGCCTTGAATTAGAGCTGCGTAAGCCTCCTCGTCTGGTTCTTTAAGTTTTGCGAATACTTCTTCCGCCGGTCCGCCATCTTTCCAAAGCTTTTTTTGACCTTTGACACTCTGTCTGAACCACCTTTCTTCGAGCCATTCCTCATCAATATCGTCCTGGCTATTGTAATAACAAAGTAATTCCAACAGAGCCTGCGTCGATTTCGCCGATATATCCGCGTTCCTTTCCTGCAAAATCTTGTAAATAAGCAGCGAATCTGATACTTGATTTTTTTCCATTGCGTCCGTTAAGTCCTGTTCTGCTAGTTCGCTATTTTCATCATACACCACTTTGGGGAAGAAACGCTCTATTGGTGGATCGCATTCTCGGTGGTTAAACACATCCGGATGTTGTCTACGTACCCAATGCGCCGCCTTTCTCCCGGCGTTTTTGGCTAAAGCGAACGCACGCTTACCAACATTGGACATGGGTAATAGATAAGGGTCGTCGTGGTATTTGTAGTGAGCGGCCGTCGGATCTCTGCTAATCGTCGCTTCCAGAGCACGTAAAATATCGGTAGGCCCGCGCTGGATCCTCTTAGGAATCTCGATTTTATCCATTTCCGACGAAAAGGCCTGTTTCCTCAGTAAATTCGTACATGTCGTCACTTGCTTAAGGGACGGCGCTTTTCTAGCAAGTGTTCTTGATGGTATCATACCCGAAATTTAAAATTTAAATGAAAATTGTAGTAATAAGAGTTACTCTTGTACACATAACCAAAATTCCTCTTCTTAAAGTTAGGTTCATTATAATGTATTACGAGACCTCTGACGGACAAAAATATGACTGTAGTTGGGAATAGTATTATTTTTGTGTGAAGTTCATGTTTCCGTTGTACTTTTTCAGTGCCTTTACGGATTCAGCAGAGTGTTCAACGTTAAAGGAAAAATTTACCAGTTTCAAAACAAATTGCTCTGCTTATGGACGTTACTTAAGTGGTGAATAACAATTATTGCTGGTAATAGTGCGATTTATAAAGTATTCAATTTTATGAATAATTTGCCTTTTAATTTTGCTAGTTTGAGGGCATAGCGTTAAAGTGTTACAGGTTTCTCCATTGCACTTTAAACACGACCGATGGTAACAGAGTCATTAATAATGCTTTATTATCGCTTACGCAGGTTGAATGAGGCCAAAGGTTCTAAGGTAACATGTAAACATGTTAAGTAAAGTGAAGTAAAACGGTCACGTGTTTAGTATTAGCAGCACCACTTTTCCTAAATGGTTATTACAATTTTTTAATAGTTTGTCGTTGGCCGAATGACTCAAGAACAGTTGAACAGCAGGAAAAAAGAAGATGCACATAAAGCTAACCAACTCAATTTAAACAAAACAATTCTTTTGGCTACCTAGTAAAGTATTTTATGGATACAATTTCATAATCAGTTCTATACAATGATATGAAATTTAAGAAATTAATAGCACAATACATAATATTTCATAAAAAATAACTATAAAGTGAACCAAAAAAAGAAAATGCATATCAGCCCGCTGCACATTCAGGGTCCTATTGTAATTGTTCCTCTTCACACAAGGCAGAAAAGGACTAGAATGTGCGAAAGAAATATAAATGGCACCACAGATTACTGAGTGGGGGAGAACTCGGTAGGCACCATAATCCGGCAATGCATTTCCCTGATCAAAGGAACAGTGTAAGCTACACATTCATCCCATCCAGGAGATCGCCAAGCACTCTCTCTAGTTTCTTTCCTCTTCAGAAGGTCTTCATAGCCTACAAAATAATAATGTACCAAAAAATACATCAAGTGGAGTAACTTCTTACACCAAATATGATGAACATTATATAGACGACCGATCTGGGAGAAAAAGCCAGCAAATGGTTCATCATTGTTCTTTCTGTGGTTTATAGCCCGTGCCCAGTTGTTGCCCCATTCTATCATTGTACCTGCAAACATAAGGGGTCACAAAAAAAACACCAACTATGCTTAAAGACGATTTACCTGGCTTTAAAGCATAGCTACGAATTTCATAGATATTTTTAGGCTCGCGGGCTACAATTTGCGGCCAATAGCTGAAAGCTAAAAGATATTGTAAGTGCCTAGACCTTACCAATTTCCCTTGGTCCAGTAAAAGCTTTTGAAATTCCTAAAATATTCTTTTTCAAGGCATTAAGTATTCAATAATATGTAACTACTTACCACACTATTGGCAGTAATTTCATTATAGGAGTCAATTTTATCAAAACCACCTACAAACTTCCACAAATGCAATGCCTGATCCTGATCTCCAACATTTACCGTCCAACTTCCTACAAGGTTTACTGAGGAACTCAGATCTTCCTGAGTATTGATCCAGTCTAGAACATTTTTCCTAAAACAGTTAAAACAAAAATAGCCTAAAACTACTCGAATTTAAAATAACTTGTGGAGAGTTTTCAATTTATTTTGACTTACACATTTTTTAGGTAATTATTCTTTGAGTCGGCTCTGAAATTATGGGTTTGGAGAGCATAGACAATTTCTTTGTCACTCAACATACGACTGTGACTCTCTTTCGTAGGTTCGATTTTTCTGACGAATATTTTCGATAGCCATGCATCATTTTTTGGCGACGAGGTAGAAATATTTCTAAAAAATGCTTTACGTAACTTAATTGCGGAGTACGGAAATTTCTTTACGCATTTTTGTGTAAACGTACACAGCGTAGAGAACCGATGTAAAATTACCTTAAATTTTGAGATATCCTGTTAAAAAATCTTATAGAGTTGGCCATATTTTGACGATTTTCACTTTTTTCCCTTTTTCACCAAAGCCAACTTATTTTTAATTTATTAATGTCATAGAGGTTACCCCAAAACCGGTTACATCACAGTATCAAAACGAACTTAACCCGGCCAAATTTATTTAATTATTTAAAACCATTGATTTATTAAATCTCACTCTGTGGAAATTATCTTCAAAATCATTTTGTTCTTTAGACTAAGAACTGAAACCTAAATTCAGTAACAAAATAATTTAAAATATGTTTTACTTTCGAGAGTCCATATAAACGCTGTGGTTTAAGATATTTTGCCAACTTCATAATTTTCAAATATTGTCCATGGAAATGGGAGCTTTAAACTCAAAAGAGAGTTTCGTAAATATTTTAATTTTAATCCATATGTTTTAAATGGGCTTTGGCCAATGTATTTTCTCTTTGGCCATTATTGTTAACCAAAAATGAAGAGGATCACGGAATAAAGATGAAAATTATGGAAGAATGATAAATCTTCAAATGTCATATGTCAGTTGTTTGTTTATGGTTATGTTTACAAATTACTTGGGCGGATCATTAAACCAATTTAATCAGTTTAAGTAGTCGGTCGGTCGCAAAATGGGTAAAATTAAATTTAAAACCCCTGTATAATTTCAATTTACCTTTTTTTTGTAGCGAATTCGGAAGTGGTAAAGCTGCAGCAGCACTTGGCGTTGCTGAAGCAGGAGTACTCAAAGTTGCAGAATAAGTATAGAGACTTGGAGAGTCGGTATACTTACATCGCCGCTACGAACGGAGATTCTGTGGACAGCGACATCAGCAATAGCTTTGCCTCTCGGCTAGTGAACACTATAAGCCAGCTGTACAATTCAGAATTGTACAGTGATATCAAAATTAAGGCTTTGGGTGGGTTCAAATTGTGACGATTCTCCGTTTATTAAAGTTATCGATATTTTAGATCGTGTAGTGCCCTGCCATAAGATTGTTTTGGCGTCCCGTTCGAAATTGTGGAACGAAGATGTGTTGAAAGACAGAAGTGAATTGGATTGGTCCGACATAGATCCAAATGTTGCAAACGCGATAATTCTCTGGCTTTATAAGGTAACCCCTCAATTTGCCTCCGAAATAAATTTGGAATTGAGGGAAATTTGGTTTTAGAGTGAAGTGCATTTAAAGTCTGCCGACTTAACCTTAAAACTTATAAAACAGGCATTCGACTTTAAGCTCAATAGCCTGATGGAAAGCTGCGAACAATACCTGATCAGTGTCGTTACTATACGAAGTTGCGTCAAGTTTTACAGCGTAGCGGAAGAGATTCAAGCCTCTAGTCTTAGAGAGTATTGCTCGGGCTTGATTTCAACGCATTGGGACGACTTGAATGCCTCTGACTTTGAGCACATGAGCGGACCTCTATTGTACCAAATGCTCAAAAGTAAAACCCAGTTGCCTCTGCATAGTGCCGTGAGGTTGCAGCGGGAGGACGTGGTGTTCCTGTGTCTCGTCGAGAACTCCCACAGGGTGAGTAAAAATGAGTTTTTGATATATATACATTTATTTATTGGTATTGGGCATTTTAACAGTAAATAGATAAGAGGGAAATATGTCATGTATTTTTTAAATGTTAGGTCCACATCTGTTAGGGGTAGTATCACAGATATAAAGAGTCTGGGTGCATACTTTTGCTAATAAAAACTCATTCTGGTCAATATCACAGACAAGATGGAACACGCGGCAATAAAAGTCAAACTGTAGCCACCGGACAGTCCGGCACCATTGCACAAGTTCCCTTTACAGTAACAGTATTCAATGGTGGATGTCCGGAGCCCCTTGTCGTTGATTTTGAAGCACCCTTCTTCGTACGGTTCCTCGATCCTCACTTCGGGGTGCCACTTGCCATTCTCGACCCTTTGGGTTTCTAGTTTTTGATATGCACAGTTGCGTTCAACGCCATTGATCAGTGCTGGAAATAAAAATACTGTTAATCTCGATCCGTAGTGTCTCTGGAGGGTAGTACCTGGTATTTTGGCACTGGTCACTTTTTTCATGCAGAATGTTGAGAAGGGACAGTCGACCATAAATTTATCCGAAAAATCGATGTCCTTGCATTTGTAAAGGGTCTCGTTCGAGAAGTGGATGTAGGGTGCTAGGATGCACTTGTAGCACTGTATAGCGCTTACTTTGGTAATGCCTGAAACAAACTTGAGTTTTAGTTTAGGTTAGTTATTATAAGTAATTATGTTTTTAGAAAAACAGTTGAATATAAAAGTTGTGGAGTTTAATGTGTAGATTTAATATTACACTCCTATTTATATATAAAAAATAACAAAAAGGATATACCAAGGTATACCAGAGTATATTTTTTTAAAATTGAAACCCTGTATTTTATTTCATAAAAAGAAAGATCATTTTATGCTGATTTCAAAAATATATAACATTTTATTGTTACTTTTTACATTAAGACCAAAATTAGTCAAATATAAAATCATTGCCTAGTTGGCCATGCATCATCACGGCGTTACGCCAACGCCAGCCACGTCTTTTGTTTAACTGTGACAGTTCTGACATATTTTAAATGTTATTTTTCAAAATCCGATAAGAGAATATTAAAAAAAAATCAAAATAAAGTTTGTTGTATATAAAATAGGGCCAGCCGCGAATATATGGAAATTCATATGTATATTTTTGCCAGTTTTTTTTTTATATAAGACGATAATTCAAATTTTTCATCAATTGAATTTTTATCTATTTTTGAACAATAATAAGATTCAAGATATGCCACAACTGTCATAACTAAACAAAAGCGAGGATTATATTTTTCTCAAATATAATTTTATGAAATTATATACAAGGTTAGCCATTTAAAAAAAAACTTTGATACAAATATAAATACAACTTTTGTATTAAACCTTTTTTCTAAAATAGAAAATAAAAAAGTTACAGGGGTTAAGCATTTTTTCTTAATTTCTTAATTATTACCGATTGGAATTTGACAATTTTGTCGTGTTTACTTTTTGAGTTGGCTATTCCGGGCCTTTGTTACTACCATTCTCTGTTGTAAAACCCGCATCACTTTAGAACGTGGAGAAATAGTCACTAACCATAAACTTCAGGGAAAATTTTAATGGTCTGTGTGATTTATATCTGTGTTTCAAATACGCATCTACCAAAACCGTTGTACTGTGTTGGTTAAACAACCATCGCCTTAATTGGCTATGCTTGGGTTAATGGAACTATCGAAATATCGAAGTATTTTCGTGTTATTAACAAAAATATTGAATCGTGCAATGAAGCGGAACGGAAATTGTTTTATTAGCCGGCGGCGCCTTAAACAACGCGGCGACCACAACAAGGCCAGCAAAATCGACTCTGATTGAATAAGAGCCGAAAACGGGGCCGATGGCCTCGTTAATTACGTGATTCGAGTGGTACCGCAGAAACTTTAGTTCGGTCGCGTAGATTCGACGCCATTTACATTGTAATTCCACCGACGAACCGGCAAAAACAATAAACGCCGAATAACCTGGGATCGATCAATGCCCGTAGCGAGTTTGACGACGATTCCATTTCGGGACAATTTTTGAATTTTGTTATGGACAGCCTATGGGTTGCCGACGGTCGGTCGTGACTCATCCCGCCGCGTTGCCGCGTCCGACGAAAATTCGGAAAAACGGGTGGGCGCGCGGAGGTCAAAATTCTGCACGAGATAGTGGCGAATATTTTTTTTAGGCAATTTATCGGCCTTTGGCTTTTGGTGGGCGGACGTTTTGCCCGATAATAATGAACGACAAATTTTCTGTCTTATCCGGCAATTACAGTGCTTTCGCAGATAAACTATTTCGACTTCTTGAATGCAGTAAAACTACCGCGTCGGTCCTATTGTTAACAAAACGACTCTTTAAAGAAGAAGGAAAATAACAGACCGTAGCGATTTATTTTTTTCGTCTTAGTCGTTCCATAGGTGTCTGTTTATCTTTTCTCTCTAACTTTTGCAAGGTCTGCCTGGTCTCCTTCATCCTTTCGATTGGCAAGCCATTTGTTTGTGTCACATGTCGCCGGTGTGTGTGGTACCAATAATATCCCTAACTCGTTCATTGGTTGGTTGTTGCTGCTAATTGCCTCCGTTGCTCTTAGAGATTTCTCATTTTTTCGTTAATTGGCCATATTTATGTTAGGACGCTCGTAACTATGGCGTTATATATTCTTCTCTTCTGATATGTCCTGCCTTGCCCATTTCTCTTTCCAATGCACCATTTTGTGTAATTATGATATTTGCAGGCGTCTGTTCGTTTAATTACTGTATTTTCAAATTTATAATTTCAGTGTTATAGAGATACTTAAGAGAAACAACACATATATATATATATATATATATATATATATATATATATATATATATATATATATATATATATACCAATAAGGGATTAATGACTATTCATTATGCCCAAATATCACTCCATTGTTTTTGTGCGTGGTTTTTCGTTTAATGCTGTAAAAGCTTAGGTAGTTGTTATGTTTTCTTTCAATTGTTCAATTATTTTTCATTTTTCAAGACTATTATTATGATTTTTATTTATGTTATTCTATATGGCAGTTCTGTGTTGCTATCGCTATCTTTACTTACATCAATTATGAGTTTAACAATACGTTTGAAAGTATTATGAGAATTTTCTACAGTAATAACCGAATTTTTCCAAATAGCCAGGGGCGTTTCATAAATTTGTGTTTTAAATTAAATCGACAATACTGGTACTAAAGGGGGAGAAGAATTTAATGTTTGTAAGAGAGACGGCATAAGTCGTGCATTAAATTCCTTTTATCGTGATGTTAATATCAGATATTAGCCATGGGAAAAGTGCGTTGTAACAATGCAACAATGTTAAAATTTTTGTACATAAGCTGTGGCCATTTTAGTGTGCAACATTTGGGACTTATTTCTACTAACTGCACAAATAAAATACTAATATTACCAAAAGTTGGTGCATGTTCCAGAACTATATTAGGTGCACTTAAAATATATGCAAGTCAAGGTAGGAGAAAAGATACAAAAAATGAACACGAGTAAAGTAGCATTATTTAAAAAAAAAATCAGCGAAATGTTAAGAAGAGCTGTTTAGAATTAAAAATTATGCTTTAATATCAGAAACAGGGCCTAACAAGATTAAAAAGTTTTTTGTTCGAAAAAACATTTTGTTAAAATAATTTTAAGTACTGTCACAATTGATTCAGAATCAAATCAATTTAAACATTTTTTGTTTAAATTCCATCGTATTTGTCAAATTCACTAAGATAATTAATATCACTTGAAAATTTTATAAAAATTGTTTTTAAGTTGCCAAAGCATATTAAGAAGTCGTCATTTAAATAGCAAAATTTTTATTTTAAATTTTTGGTAAAAAAAGTTATAAATTATTGTCGTCAATTGACAAACATAATATGTTACTGAAATAATCGCGGCTATTCATGATATAAAGAGACAAGACTTTGACACTATGACACTCTGATGACATTGACTGTTATTGTCAAATAATAATTGCTTGATTATTAAAAAAAAATATTTGAAATGTCTCTTTCGAGTAGAGTTCGTTCTAATATGTCGAGATAATTATAAACCAGTGCGTGAAGCAGAAGGTATCTTTAATGGACGACATACGTTAAAAAAATTCACTATTCAACTGTTAGTAAGATTTGAACTCATTTCAGACATGCAGGATCTTTATAGTGTAAATACAATAGGTATAAAGCTCTTCAAACAATATATAATGAAGAAAATCGATTAAAAGTACTTTAGGCCCACAGAAGATCTGGATTATATTAATGTCCGAGATGCTCTGTTAACAACATTTATTTGCACGTTTCAAGAGCGAGAATGATCTGCGGCACGTGCATGTGGATTCAAGGATCGGCATGATTACCATAAACACGTCCTTTTTGGCGCTAAATTCACGTCACAACTAGCGGTGTTGTTTCTTTTTCCTTATTAACAAAAAAAAGCCAATATCGTCAAAAAACAAATTAATTGCGCAAAAATTTAACTGGCGATCCGTATTTTTGCACTACGTACGCACTGTCATTACTGTATTATTATTGGAATTTTTAGTTAATTTGTGTTTTGAAGAACGTATTAACAATGATCTATGGTGACCTCCCCGTTCGCCAGATATCACTCCAATAGATTTTAGTTTATTCGACATGTAATAATCTTGAAGATCTTGAAAACTCAATAAGACTCCATTGCAGAAATATAACGCTAAATGTACTGAGATCAACCATTTTTTATGTTAGTACAATTACATGCATCGAACGAGAAGGCGGGCATACAGAAACGTGTCGATAATTTATTGTTAAGTAGTTTATTTTTTCTGCTTCTAAATATGTTGTTATTAATAATTTGTCAAATTTTTTTAAATTATCCAACATAGTTCATAATATTAATATTATTATTCATTTTAGTAATTTTTTTATGGTTATCTGAGATTTCATGTTTTTATTCATTAGTTGATTTTTGTAATATTTTTTATTTTGTAAGCATTTGTTGTACATTTAACGTGTATATTGAAATTTAAATTGTATGAGTGAATCGTTTTAATTGGTTGGACTGTCGATTTGAAACGGTCGCTTCTGATTGGCTGGCAAAGATCGGTAGGTCGGAACAAGATGGTGAAACAGGAATGTCGCATTTTTTCGATTTGCGTTTCAATTTTACACTAGCCTCATCCACTTTTTTGCACAAAAATTATGAATTATTACAATTTGAAATAAAAAAATTTGCTATTGAAATGACTATTGTAATTAGCAATTCTTGGCTGCTGAAAAAGAATTTTTATAAATTTTTCTATATCGTTGCAACAAACATAAAATTAGCGTTTCGTTAAAAAATTACGTTGAAATTGGAATAAAAAATTGCTAAAGTGATTGCTAAAATAACTCGTAATTCTAAACAACTTTTCTTAATAGCATTTTGATCAATTTTTTGAAATAAGGGTCCTACTCTGTATTCTGTTTCACTTGCAAATATGATTATGTCTCAAATTTTAGCAATATTAGTATCCTATTTGTTATTTTATGGGTAATGGTTAACGAAATATTAGCATTTTGTTAACATATATTTATCCACACTTTTGTCTAGATAAAAATATATTTATATGTATATCTAGCACTGGCAACATTGCCTTAACCTGTGCGTCG